CATACATACATGTTGGAGCCATTTGAGTTGATTTATGGACATTGTGTCCTTTTATCCACAAACTCTTCAATGGGTAAGCACAGTGGCTGTGGTGGTATATTAGAAGGACTCTGAAGACCCATAGCAGCGGGACTGATTTTCACAAGTCCCCATGGGGCAGACAGTACTGGAATTACATCCTCAATGGGCCCTGAGAAATGCAACCCTTCTGCTTTAGAATGTGGACTCCTCGTGTGAACAAGCTGAATGGACAGGCCAATCCTGGGATTGCCTGTCTACTTCAAGGAAGCAGTGGCCTCCGGGGAAGGCAAGGCAGAGTGGTGTTGCGCCAGCATCCAGCACATACCCAGCTCAAGGACACCCCACAAGTACCTCTTAAAATATAGTACTTTTATTTGCTTACTGAGATTTTCTTAAGCACTTGATTCACAGAAAATGTCTTACAAAATAATAAAGGCAGCATTTTGTACAGCGACTCACACCAGAGCCCCCAGAGAGAAGTGGGCAGGGCGGTGCTGCTGTGTCCAGGCTCCTCAGGGAGAGGCCAGTGCTCCTGGCTCCCTCTCTTCCCTCGCCCCACTCAGCAGAGCAGCACCGAGGGGCTGTCAGGCCCAGCCTGGGAAGCCATCAGCCAAGTGCACGACAGCAACCCCAACAGGCTGGCAAAGGCCCCTCATGGAAGGCGAAGTGGTGGTGTGGGGCGTGCAGCCTGAGCCAATCCTGCAACCAGCTCCTTTAAGCAACTGGGGTCTGAGCCCACCTGGCTCTGGAACTTTGACACATTCATATTGCAGTTCAGTGAAGCCTGCCTTCTCAGGCCATTAACCCTGCGTATACTGGGAACAGAAGGACATGGTCCTGCTCTACCTTTGGGGCACACATAGGCAAGTGGACAGCTTCCAAACAAGGCAAAAAGTGCTCGGTGACCTGAGGGAGCAGGGGTAGAGTATTGTGGCCTAGGGGAATGAAGTCCTGTGTGTAGACCAGCAGTGTATGACATGTGGCAATGGTGGAGAAGGGCATGCCGGGAATAAGAAAGCATGGGCCAAGGCACAGAGAAACACAGCAGGGGCAGTAAAGGCAGGTCCATGGACACACCCAAGGGGTACATTGTCTTCAAGTCTGTAAAGCTGGCATCCGGAAGATGCTCCCATGGGAGATTTGGATCCTCCAAACTGGCACCAAAGGCTTTGCCTCCTGAGTCTGGGCTGTCTACCATGTACCCTTCCTCTTCAGTGTGTCCTCTTGCCATCACTGGGGCAGCCTTTCAAGAGGGGCTCCCTGCCCACACCTCTTGGTCCTCACAGATCCACATACTGTCTTTTTAGTCAACCCAACTCCAGGCTCCACAGGCAGCTGGGAGGGTATGGTGGGGCCCCTGGTGGGATCAGGAGAGAAAAGCTAGGAAAGGGGGAATTCTAGGACAGTTGTCTCGTCCTACCTCAGCAGAGTTCTCTCTCCCCCTCAGCAGTACATCTGCTCTCCCCTGAGAAGAGTCGGCATTTGGTGTTAAGAAGTGGTTCCATGTAACAACAGCAAACCCCAAGCACAGCCTCGTAAATCAACTGGATTTTTTCCTGACCTTTTATAAAGAATTGCCACAAGAGCTTGTGTGACTGAAAACCCAACTTTTGTCGTTTTTTCCCCCTTTGAGATGCATTCTCAAGCCTACTACAGGATGGAGTAGAAGAGTCTAGAAGTACCTTGTTCTAAGACTCCAGGGGACCCATTCTCTCACAAGGTGGAGGGCAGTTTGAAGGCCTTCACCTACTAGCTCTTCTGAGCACCTGCCAGGACTGGGGCCTGAGAGTAGGGAATGTGGCTGTCCCAGGAGTCCTGACAGCACCTCCTTTGCCCCTCCCACCCCCACCCTTCCAAGGCCTAGGTCTGAGCTGGAGCAGGTCTCATCCTTACAGGATCGGGTAGGTCTCCACTGTTAGAGGATGGTGCAGAAAATGCTGCGGTTCCTGTGGTAACCACCTTCTACCCGGGCTGTGATCCTGGTTGCCATGGCTGCCACCTTCTGTCCATTGTGGGCTACTGAGGGTCCTCTAAGAGAGTTTTCCAGGTGAGGCCGTGCTGGTGGGTTCACCAGGCGCCACGTATCAGACCTGGAAGTGGAAAACGACAGTGAACCCAACACTTGCTGAATGTCCTGCCCCTTTGGCTCAAGAGCATGGAACCCATGTGTGTCGGGTGTATGTTCTGTCTCCCAAGTTCATAAGAGCCCAAGGTGGTGGGACGTGTGTGAGTCTAAGGGACTGCATGTTTGTCAAAATATACAGAACTGTCCACCAAATCGGGTGAATTTAAGTTATACCTAAATCAATACATCAGTATCAGGTTTGTTAAGTCTGGGATCTATTCTGCTTGTGGTCTCTACAGAGGGAAAGAGGATGTGAATCCCAGGGAGTCCACAATATCTGCTGGGAGGTGTGAAAACAAAAAGTTTCTATTTTTAATTTTATACTTTAATAATTACTATTTTTGATATAGCTTATAATGTAAATAATACACTGATAGACTATACACATACAATTTATAACTAACTATGAAAGACTTCTAAAAGTTCATGGAAAAATTCTATTATCTTTTAATTCCATTTTCCCAGAGAGTTTTTGAAGCCCCCTTATATGTATGTATGAAGGGGTTTCCTCAAAAAGCATTTTTACTGAGTGTCCATAATTTAAAAATCTGAGGCTCCATCAAAGGTTTTGACCATAGAAAGTGACGCGACCAAAACTCTGCTTTAGAACGATTCATCTTACAGTATGCATGGAGAGTTTGGGAGGTGGCCTGTGGGCAGAATGACGAGGGGGGGGGAGGGCTGCTACTACATGACTGGTGATGTTAACAGTACAGGGACGACAGCAACAAGTAGTACTTACCTTTTACAACTGGTCTAATAGCACTCATCCAGGTATCTGAACAGCCAGAAGAGCCTCACTGCTCATATAGACTGTATGTACGTGAGGGTGAGTAGTAAGTACTGAGATCTGAACCAGGGCAGAGGCAGCAGAAGAGGACGAGCCTTTCAGAAAGTGTTTACGGAGGAGAAAGCCAGAGTTTTGTTGCCAGAATGCTGGGTGGACAGAGATGCCAATGAAATGGGGAAGGCAGTAGTGAAAACAGGCAGCAACAGCAGCAGCAGGTATTTTCCGAATACCTCGGCCACTCTGCTAAGGCCGTATGATCCATTTCATATGAAACTGGTGTACAAAGCAGATCCTAGTGAGTGGATTTTACTAAGGCTCAGGTCACAGTAACGGGCAGAGCTCTGAGATTTGAAACTGCATACTCCAAACTCTTAAAACTGGTTCTCTCCCAGGAAATAAGGTGCTGGTCCTTAACCCAGGCCTGTTTTCCCGAGTAATGCTCACTGTGGTTTAGAAGGCTGATTCAGACAATTCCAGGTACTTACTTCTTCTTGAAGACCAGGAACTTGTTGTTTTGCATGATACATTCTCGGTTGTTTGAGATCTGTTGAAAGATGGCCTTGTTGGTCTTGCCCTGGAAGATGATATTCTCTTGCACCGTGGCCTTGGCACGACCCCGCACAGCAATGCCATAGGCCCGGAATGAATGGATCCGGTTCTTCATCACCTGGAGAAGCAATAGGACTTGTCAGAACCTCAGGGCTCCAATGGAGGAGTGAGCCATCAGTTTTAACAGGAGCATGCTAGGTAGGTTAGCACAGAGCCATGGGAGCCCTGAGAAGGGATTATTGAGACCAGTTGTGGGGCCAGGGAAAGCTCCCTGGAGGAGGATGTACAGTCAAGATGTAGAAGTTTACCAGGTGCAGAGCAGCAGCAGGGAGATGTTCCAGGAAGAGGGACAATGTGCAAATACCTCACAGAAAGAGAAGGGGATGCTAGAAGCCAGGCAATCCTGCCTGTTGAGGCTGGGTGTTCCTCTCCTCTGCTCCCATAGGGCTCAGACACAAAGTCGAGAGATTCTTTACTCCCTTCCTAAAGGAGCTCTGGTAGCATAGTGGTTACAAGTCGGGCTGTAAACCTCAAGGTCAGCAGTTCGAAACTACCAGCCGCTACGCGCGAGAAGGATGAGGCTTTCTGCTCCCATAAAGATTTACAGCCTCACAAACCCTATCAGGGTCACTATGAGTCGGAACCTACTCAACGGCACTTAACAGCAACAACAAAACAGAAAGTTGGGGAGCCAAAAAGATTTTCTGGGACTGAAATTCCCCAACGGCTGGGATGGGTCTGGCACTGTAACTACAGCTCCTAGCATGGAGGTTTGTATAACATGAATGCTTAGAGCCCAGTCCTGAGGGGAGGCAGATACGGACAAGACACCAAGCTCTGTGAGGATTGCTCTCTGAGGTTAGAGAGGGTCTGCGTACTATGAAAGCCCAGAAAAAGGGCATCTCAAATAGCCTGGGGAACTGGGGAGCTTCTGGAAAAAAGTGACAGCTAAACTAAGGAGCTCTGGTAGCGTAGTGGTTATGAATCGGGCTGTGAACCACAAGTCAGCAGTTCGAAACTACCAGCGGTTCCGCGGGAGTAAGATGAGGCGTTCTGCTCCCATAAAGATTTATAGCCTCGGAAACCCTGTCCAGGGTCACTATGAGTCGGAACCGACTCCACGGCACTTAACAACAACAGACTATAGGATCGAAGGGGAAACAGGTATGCCTGGTATACAGAGAGTAGGTGTGCAAAGGCCCTGTGGCAGTATTCCTCTCCTCTAAGTATCTACTGCATACCAGTCCCGGGAGTCTTCTGGTAAGAAAGAGCTAAAACAGTCCCAACCTTGACCTGGAGACCACCTCAGGTTGCTCCCAACACATGGTATCTAGGAGGTGGAACCCCTTACCCCTAGCTTATCCTTCAGGTCTCAATTCATAGATTTCCTGTGTGAAGTCCCACCTACATCTTCCAGGCTGAGTTCAGGCAGGAGGGATCATGTCCCATTCAGCCCTGAGTGTATGCAGTCTAGCTTCTTGGCAGAGAGGGCATGGAACTGCTCTTGGGGGCAGACCCTGTTAGCCCCACACGTCATACACACAGACGCACCTTTGTGTCGGATCTGGGCAGGAGGTGCAGCCCACTGCCCCGGTTTCCAATTATGTCATTTTCGATGACGACAGTACTGTCACCCTTGGTAATGATGCCGTGGCCTCTGTTGTCATAGATACCATTGCCCCGGAGCTCCACCTTGCACTGGGCTTCGACCTTGACCCCACTCAGTCGGTTGCAGGAGATGCTATTGTTGGTCACGTGGGTTAACTGACTACTCTGGGCCACGGTGATGCCTCTGTCTCCATTGGCGTGGATCACATTGGTGGTGACATGCAGTCCCTCGCTGCTCTGGACGTAGAGTCCAGAGGCTACAGAGTGGAAGCAGGGAAAGCAGGGTCAGGTCTGAAATATCAGCCAGGAAGAGTCTTCCCCAATCGTGCACCCAGGAGAGAGGTGGGGACCCAGAAGTAGTAACACTCAGAACCAACCCCTGGGTTTGTACCTTCCACACTGGATGACAAACAAAGCAGTTTCCAGGAATAGCAAGAAAACCTTGTTCTTCTGAACAAATCTTTATTAAATGTAGCCAGGGAAACGGGGTGCTATTAGACTCAGGCTTAGAGCAGCCATCCTACTGCTACTTATACTTCCTGTGATGGGGAGCTTACTACCTATCAAGGTGGCTCATTCTACCTCTAGACAGACAAGCCTGCCTACTAGAAAGCTTGTTTTGTTTTCCCTCACAGGAACCAGGGTCGGCTGGGAAGAGTTTGTGTGCAGGTTAGTGACGGGGTGTGCGGGCAGCTTGGAATGTGAGCCTGTTACCTCGGCACCTCTTGGGAGAACCTGTGTGCTGTTTCTCCTGGCTTGGTTGAGAACAAAATGGAATCAAGCATTTGTGATTTTACCATGAAAGAAACCCTGAACTGGGAGGTGACAGAACTCATTTCTGGCTGAAGGCTGGGGCTGCCAGGGTTGCCTTTCCAGATGTCTCTATGGATAGGAAAGGTTGGCTATCTAGCTATAAAAGATGACACACGGGACGGGGCCAGGGTTTACCAAGCCTCACTATTCAGATCCTCAGAGAAGCACGTTAGTTCAGGTGACAGGTTTCTCAGGCCTCTTGAAGAACCACCTCTTAGGGGAGGGCCCAGGAACCTGCATTTTATCAAGCCTCTGCCTGCAGTGATTCTGATCATCAGCCAGGTGTGGGAGGCCTGGAGATAGACAAACTCCACAGCCAGTTTCTACAGTCTGTCAGGGCTGGTGAAACAGCCACAGAGATAAGGTGTCCAGGGGTCTCAGCAGTGTCCCTCGGGAGAGTTCACAGAAGTAAAGGAGGGAGTACTGCATTCAGACAGACTTGGAAGTTCCAGTTGGCTTGGAACGTAAGGATAGGAGAAAGGACACTTCAGGAAAGAGAAACCTCATGAGCAAGCTCAGGGTTGTGGCGTGACATGGATTCACGTTCAAGGAAAATGAAGTCCAGGGGGCTAGGGCATCAGGAAAGTGGCAGGAAGAAGTGAGTGATAGGCTGGAGGGGCAGGTCAGGCAGGGGCTCACCTCCATTGTGGTTAATACTGTTCGACTCCACAAGAGCGATAGTGATGGGCCGGCGTAGTGGGTCGTCCTCTTTGTCCAGCTCTGTCTCCCAGAGGATGGCATCCCCGTCCTCACTGAAGTTCTCCTGGGCCCCATGGCCTCCAGGGAACTCACTGGAGCCATCCTTCTGGCTAAACACTGCGACACCGTACAGGCCATTGTAGCTGACGTGGTTGCTGGTGACGTGGGGCAGGCTGGATGACATCATCCACACACCACAGCCCTTGTTAGCTGAGACAGCGAAAGGAGGTGGTCACTGACCCAACCATGGGTGAGCAGCACCCAATGGAAGGCAGACGTCCCTTATTTGCTACATGGCCTTGGACAAGTCACTTTATGACTCTGGCTGCAAGCTTCTTCATACAAGGGGGATATGGCCCACCTCTTTGTGCCTCAGTTTTCTCATCTTTAAAACGGGGTTAATACTTAGTCTAACTCAGAGGGCAGTCATGAGAAGTAAATGTGACAATGCATTCAAGGACACAGAAGAATTGGGTCTTGCTGAAGGCTAACTATTACAGAGAGTGTAATACATTCCTGCTACCATCATTACATTTTCAGGTCTCTGGATCAAAGAACAGATAAGAAGAGCTTAACTGGCCTTATTCATAGACTTGATCCAAATGCCTGCCTTTTTGCTATTTTAATTGGGGATAAAGCTCTCCACCCCAATGGCCCCACAAGATCAGTTTGAGAATCACAGGGAGATTTATGAGAGGCTCTTGCACTCTGGGAGAGGCCTGAAATCATTCCTGTTCTTCAGACGAGATCTGTGAGGACCAGAGAATGGTGATAGCCTTCATAGGACCCACAGACTGGAGATGAAAGCTGGGTAGACCCTAGACTTCCTGTCTCCTAATCCCAAGTCTCTTCCCTCTGGGAACATGCTCCTCACCATAGATGGTGTTTCCTTCGATCAGCCCTTTGCCTTCATCCCCCACGACCACACCATCTGAGTAGCCAAAGCAGATGAGGTTGCTCCTGAGGACAGGGATCCCTCCACGCCGGATGTCCACGCCCCCCCACTGATTCTCACGGATGACGTTTTCTACAGAGAGAGGCAGAAAAGAGGAGTGGTACCCCAAGGGCTACTGCCAGTGCTGAGAGGAAGGACAGTGTGGACTGGACGCCAAGCAACAAGCACTTGGAATCTTGTCTGGTGTTTGACGTCTCAGGGACTTGTCTGCTGTCTGGAGCCAACAGGCCTGAAGATGGATAATTAAGAATAAGTTGGCTTTGGGGTCCTGGCCCCTGGCCAGGCAGGGGATCCGAGGTAGTTATCTCAACGCAAATCCAGACATTTCATCATCAGCCTGGGGAGACACACAGTCTCAGCCCTGTCTTCTGCCCATTCCCTTTCTTTCCTCTCTCCATGGCAGCTACCGCTTTTTGGGGAGTGGGCTGAAGAATCATGAGTCAGAAGGGCCTGTCTGAGGCCAGCGTGGAAGCAGGACATACTTTCAGTCACTTGGGACAGAGCTGCAATGGCTCATAAAGCCTGTCCCACGTCATGCCACTCAGCCCTTGTTCACCACACTCCAGTCCCGCTCACGCTGTCTTTCCCTCAGGCATGCTCTGCAGGGAAGGATCTTTGCTCAAGCTCCTTTCCGTCACTGAGACTCTGGCTCAAGTGTCATTTTCTAAGAAAGAGCTGGCCTGACCACACAACCCTATGTACCCTGTAACGCTGTCCTACCATCGCCTTATGTAATTATCTATAGAGCACTTACCACCCCCTGCCCGTGTGTGCATGCTTTTGTTGATGGATTTGCTTCTCCCTCCTAAAATGTCAGCTCCTGAGAGCAGAACAAGGGTCAGTTTGGCTGACTTCTGTCTCCTGACCTCCTGGACTACTGCCTGAATACAGGAGGTGCTCAGTAAACGTCTGATGAATGAGGGCAGGCTGGAGTCAGTCAGCAGGGGTGGGGGTTGCATTGGACCAGTGCTTACTGAGTCCTTCCTATATGCCAAGTATGAGTCAGAATCGACTCGATGGGAGTGGGAGTGGGTGGCTACACTCTGACACTCTGAGCTTAGGCTTCATTACCGTTCCAGGTGGACTTGACTTTGAAATGATTGAATTTATCATTTGGGAGCAATGGAGACAATGAAGCAACTCAATAAGAAATAATGGAAACGGTCCTGCTGAGGCGGTGTCTGTATAATGGAAAGTCAGGGAAGGCTTTCGGGAAGACGTGACGTTTAAGCTGAGACCTTAGGATGAACAGGCATCAGCCAGGCAGGAGGTAGGAGGATGGGTTTCCAGAGCAGACAGGTGGGTCATGCAAGTCAAGGGGAAGGAGTCTGGCAATCTGCTCGGCATAAATGCTTCTGAAACTACTATGTCATCACGTAAGAAGAACCTGTAAGCACTGGGCCTGCTAAAGAGCAGAGCCACCCTCTGTGACAGGCCTTCTTCTTAATACACAGTCATGTGCAGAGCTGGTACCCCTGAGAGCAGCCCACCATTCAGAGGTGGCAGCCATAGTTTGGCAAGGTAAAGGAGAGGTGCAAGATCCTGCAGCAGGAGGGGGTGAAGGCAGGAGTGTACAGTAGGCATGGGCTGCTCTACCAGTCCCCTCAGAGCCTCTGCGCCAAGCAGTCTTAGCCCATACCTGTGATGAGACCTTTCCCCTTCTCGTTCACTGCGATGCCAGCAGCACGGCCCTTGAAAATGTGGTTCCCACTAGAATGGAAGGAAGCAAGACAAGGAGGTGACAACAGGGCTCCAATGTCATCCTTCAAAGACAATGCCCTTCCCAAGGACGGTTCCTTCTTTTGTGTACTTCCTTAGGTAGAGCAAGCCCACAGAGGCGTAAAGTATTCCCGGAAGCCCTATCAGCCAGATAATTAGAAATCTTCCTGAGACAACTTATCAGAAATGAAACCCACAACTATGACATAGAAGCACAATGTGGCTTATTCGCCACAATAATCAAGATTTGAAACAGATGTGATCATGGCGTACAAGTCACAGGCAGGTTACTTAGTGCTGGTTGTTGGTAAGTGCTGTCAAGTAGGTTACGACTCATAGTGATCCTGTACACGGCTTCTGAGGAACAGCTGGTGGGCTTGAACCGCCAACCTTGTGGTTAGCAGTCCAGTGCTTATCCTACAGCAGCATACCAAGACTCCCGGCGGGACACAGAATTCCTAGGAGGCTGTGCTATGCTTGTTGAGCAGTGATTTGTGACCAAGTCCTGAATTGGGCGCTCTGCCTGTAATGCACCCACAGTCTTCTCTATAGATCCAACAGCTACTCTTTACAGTATTGCCTGTGAACTTACTCATGCACTGTATGACAACAGAAAAGAATAACATGCTTAGAGAAGGAAACCAGATTAAAAAAAAAAAGGAGGGTTCAAGAACATCAGAAGAAGAGTTCAATGGAAATGCATACTCTTTAAATGCAACCATTTCCTTTGTGTCATAGTGACAACATGTATGTGAGATTCATGGGTTGGGTTAGCCATCATAAATGGAAGGTAGAAGAAAACACGCTCCTACTCAGACACACACACAGCCTCTTCACTGCCGCATCAAGCCCTCATGAATCATTTCCTCCAACAGACAACTGAGTCTGTGAGACCTTGCATCTCTCTCCAATCTCTGCAGCTGTCTGGCTGCCTGAACAAACAAGCTAGTCACACCTAGATGCCAGGGGAATTGTGCAATCCCTAGAGGTCACACATTGGCTGTTAGCTATTTTTACTAACAGGAAGACTGATCTTCTTCCCCTTTGGAAGAGCATCTGCCCATTTTCTCATGAGGAGGTCTCCTAGTCCCTACCAGGTAGCTGAGGGACAGAGGCTGAAATATTCATCTGGGTCTGTCAGGGCCTGGCACCAACAGAACACCAATGACCGCAGATTGACTGGTTAAGTTTTCCCGTCTCTTAGGACAGACTCCACGTGCTTACTTCCTTGGGGAAAAACCAGCAACTTAACGCTAATGCTGAGAAAACCAAACATCAATAGCATTTACATGACATGTATTTTTCAGTTAAACATGTAAAATTATGCTGGATATACCCATTTTTTACCCTCAGACAGATCTGAAAAGGCTGCTTTTATCTGGATAAAATTTAGTTAGAATCTGTTCCTAGGCTATGGCACGCCTCAGTCATCTCTCTGACAGGTGTCCCATAGGCAGCAAATGCACAGCGATGTAATTTTCATACATTTATCTCCAGATAAATGGAGGAACTTGGAGAACATGTATGTGTCTTTTACATAGGGCTGGCATAATAAAGATAAGAGAGGTCTCAGAAAACATCTAAGATGCAGATCATTGTATCAAGACCCAAGACTGGGATATTTACTGACGAGCACAGATTTAGTCCTGTGCTTCCTGGCAGTTCAGGAAGAAAAAACACAGCAGGTTATGTCGTTTTCACTGGCTAAAAATATGCTGTGGTTTCTCCCATCCAAGCCACTTCAGGGATCTCAAAATTAATTCTCAAAATTCATTTTCTCCATGGGGGGAGTCACTGGGTAAGCACAAATGGTTAAATGTTCAACTATTAGGCGGGTGCTTGGAACCCACCCAGAGCTGCATAGGAAGACAGGTTAGGTGATCTGCTTCCAAAGAGAAAACCTGTGGAAAGGTCTATTCTGAACATGGGTGTGTGTGTGTGTGTGTGTGTGTGTGTCACCATGAGTAGAAATCAACTTGGTGGCAATTAGCAAGATCTACCCTCCCCCAGACCCCTACCACCAATCATAAAAAAGAGATCAAAGAAAAAAGCCCAACCTAGTCTTTCAAAGCTTTCAAGGTCACTTCATTTACCAGGAGTCTTGATGTGGCACTGCAGGACAAGCACTGGGCAGTCCTGACCTCAAGGTTGGCTGGTTCAAACCCACCAGTTGCTCCTCAGAAATCCTACAGAGTCGCTATTGAGTGGGAAGTGACTCAACAACACTTAACAACATGTTTAATAAAACCCAAAACACTGATCTGCTGAAGCTGTTCCTTGCTTAAAACCCCTTTAACAGTTCCCCAGCTACCAAAAGGCCAAACTCCTTAGTTTGGTGTATTAGTTTTATATTGCTGCTGTAACGCATTACCACCAGTTCAATGGCTTAAAGCAACACACATTTATCATCTTTCAGTTCTGGAGGTCAGAAGTCCAAAATGGGTCTTAAAAGGCCTAGAACTCAAGGTGCCTGCAGAGCTGCATTCCTTCTGGCGACGCTGGAGGAGATTGTTTTTTATTTTCTCCAGTTTCCAGAAGCTGCTCATATTCCCTGACCTGTGGCCTCATCACTCCAACACATGCTTCCATCGGCACACTTCCTTGTGACTCATGCGCTACTGATTTTCTAAGTATCCTCATGGCTACATTGGCTCCACCTGGATAATTCAGGATCCCTGCCCAGCTCAAGGTCCTTAATTTCATCCTATCTACAAAGTCTCTTTTACTATATGAAATAACATTCATAGGCCCCGAGAACTGGAGCATGGCCATCTTTGTTGCTGTTAGGTACTATCAAGTTGATTTTGACTCACAGTGACTCCATACATATAAGAAAACGAAAGCCTGTCCAGCCCGGCACCATCCTCACAATTGTTACATGTGAGCCCACTGCTGGTGCCACTTTGTCAATCCATCTGCTTGCAGGGGAGGGGGGTTGTCTTCCTCTTTTTTGTCAACCTCCACTTTACCAAGCATCATATCCTTCTCTAGGGACTGATCCCTCCTGAAAACATGCCCAAAGTTTGAGAAAGGAAGTCTGGCCATCCGATCTTCTAACATTCTGGCTGTACTTCTTCCAAGACAGATTGGTTTGTTCTTTGACATTCCATAGTACTTTTACTATTCTTTTCTAACACCATAATTCAAATGCATTAATTCTATGGTCTTCCTTCTTCATTGTCCAACTTTCACATGCATATGAGGTGACTGAAAATAGCATGGCTTAGGTCAGGTGCACTTTAGTCCTCAAACTGACACTCTCTTGAACATTAAAGAGGTCTTTTGTAGTAGACTTGCCCAATATGTTGTTTGATTTCCTGACTGCTGTTTCCATGAGCACTGATTGTGGGTCCAAGAGAAAGGTACGTTTTTGACAACTTCAATCTTTTTTCCGTTTATTTTGATGCTGTTTTGTGGTCCAGTTGTAAGGATTTTCATTTTCTTAATATATATATTGAGGTACAATCTATACTGTAGGTTGTAGTCTTTGATCTTCATCAAAAAGTATTTCAAGTCCCCTTCACTTTCAAGCAAGCAAAGTTGTACCATTTGCATATTGTAGGTTAATGAATCTTCCTTTAATTGTGATGCCACATTTTTCTCATATAATCCAGCTTCTTTGATTATTTGTTCAGCATACAGATTGAATAAGTAAGGGGGAAGGATACAACCCTGGTGCACCCTATTCTGATTTTAAACCATTCCATATCCCCTTATTCTGTTCAAACGACTGCTTCTTGGTCTATGTACAGGTTCCTCATGAGTACAATTCAGTGTTCAGGAATCCCTATTCTTTACAATTTTATCCATAGTTAGTTATGGTCCAGACTTTGGCATAGTCAATAGTAGTCAAATGCCTTTGCATAATCAATAAAGCACACGTAAACATCTTTCTGGTATTTTTTTTCTTTCAGTCAAGATTCATCTGAAGCCAGCAATGACATCGTTACTTCCATATCTTCTTCTGAATCTGGTTTGAATTTCCCTGTTGATATACTGCTGCAACAATTTTTGAATGCTCTTCAGCAAAATTTTAGTTGCATGTGGTATTAATGATATTGTTGTGTGATTTGTGCATTCTGCAGAAATTGCCCACTCCAGGATCACCTTTCTCTGTGATGGGCAAAACTATGGATCTCTTCTAATCAATTGGCCAGGTAGCTATCTTCCAAATTTCTTGGCATAGACGAGTGAGTGCCTCTAATGCTGCAGCAGCTTATTAAAACATTTCGATTTGGATTCCATTAATTCCTGGAGCCTTGTTCTTTGTGCAGCTTGGCCTTCTTCCTTAATACCATAAGTTCTTCAATCAGATAGTACTGCTTGAAATGAGTGACTCTCTGTATTAAAAAAACCTGAACATCTTTGGTGGTGGTGGTTGGTGGTTATGTGCCGTGGAATCAGTTCCGACTCATAGCAACCCTCTACAGGGTTTCTGAGGCTGTAAACCTTTACGGGAATAGAAAGCCTCATCTTTCTCCTGCGGAATAGCTGGTAGTTTTGAACTGCTGACCTTGCGGTTCACAGCCCGATTTGTAACCGCTACACTACCAGAACTCCTGTGAACATCTTTGGGGTGCCATTATTCTGCCCGCCATACTTGGCATTCTAGGTCCTTCTTGCTGCAGTTTCAACTGGCCTTTCCAAATGGATCTTCTAATCTGTCTGCTCAGGCATCCTGTCTCCAGACATACTATATCTCTCACGAGTTTCCCAGACAAACCTTAAATTTGAATGCCCGCAGGTCCAGGCAACCTTTACCACAGCAATAAAAGTCTATTTATCTTCCAAACACAACCTGAATGTCATCATGTACCCTTCCCTGATGCTCTCAGCTGAAACTGTGGCCAAGTTCCTCAGCTCCTCTGCATGAAGACCTATAAAAGCACTCAATCCAGTGAGTGTCCACTCATGGTTATGTGTATAGGTGTCTATCTCCAGAAGAGGCTGTAAACTCCAGGAACAGGGACTCCCTCACACACGTTATACCCCCTTTACATAAAGTATGCATTTAAATGTATGCTAAGGGAATAACACAAACACAGTACTTCTTACCTAAGGTCAAGGAAGGTAAAAGAGTTCTATGACCACAAGTGTTTACAGAAAGCTATATACAACAGCTACAGCTAATAGGGATGGTTCCAAAATTATGGAATACAAAACAATGGAAAGTTTTGAAACTTGTCAATGTGATAAAGACCACACAATCACATGGAAACATACATATAAAATAAAGCTAAGGGAGCAAACCTAGAAGCCAGTTATTGCACATGAATGTTAATTTTCCTAAAACAGAAATAGCTGTGTGAGTGTTGCCACCCAACAACCTTCCATAATTCCTCGTTATCCTACTCAGAATAAACACTTCTCTCAGCTTGTTCTACATAAAGCCTTTCTTACCTTCCTCAAGGCTTTCTATCCATCATTCCTTCCCACTAAGAGGTGCAGCAGAGATGGACTGCCACAGGGCTATAAAAAGTCATGCTGTAGTGACCACAAGGCCTTAGATTTTCTGGGACAGGCCCAATTTACAGTATTTTATATCAATGTCTCACCTTATGCCGGATTTTCCTCAAGGCACAGTTGACTGTTAGTTAAGCCCTGGATCTGTGATGCTTGGCTGACTTGACTCATGTGGTTTCCTTTACTAGGAATACCCATTGCCCATTTCCACGAGTCCAAATTCTACGTATATTTCAAAGCCCAACTCAATGCCAGCGCTTAAATGAGGACTTTCTACATCCTGATCAGAATGGTACTCCCCGTTTCTCTTGGTACAACTTTAATGGCTTTCATCATAACCTGTCCCATCTGCAAAGGTAGATCCATGGCCCCTTCACACCCATGGCAGACATTACTATTTGAGCATGGATGCTCTTTCTGCTGAGGTCAGATGCAGCCTCACAATCTTAACACACTTAGCATCCAACTAGCCACACTACCAACTGGCTGGAGTTGTCTGTGACCTGAAATCTCCATGTCATCTCTGACTTTATTATTCATGTTGACAATACTGACAGCAAAGCATACACCAACTTAACAGTTTCTACATGTACAGTTTAGTGACACTGATCACATTTTTTGTGTGCAACCATTCTCATTCTCCTTTACTGACATATTTCTCCATATTAACATGAACTCACTGCCCCTAAAGTTCCTTTCTAATCTTTCTGAGTTGCTGTTGGTAATTTGATCCAATAGTTGTTTTTGTGTTGCTGTTTTTTAAAACTTTTTATTGTCAATTGAGTGAAGGTTTGCAGAGCAGATCATTAGTTTGAATTCAACATATCATACTTTGTTTCACGTTGACTGCAACCCCCCTTTAATGTAACATTACTTATCCTACTTATCCTACTTCCAGTCCTTTCTCAACCCATCTGAATTTTGTCTTTAGGTAAATGCTGCCCTTTTGATCTCAAATGTGTGGCCATTCTGTGGTGTGCATACCTCACTAATGTTGCTGTCCCCACTATATACCTATCTACTAACTGGCTGAAATTTGAGCAATGAGGGTGAGTTCATTTCCAGACCTGAAGGGTAAATTCCATATAGCTTTTAAAAGAACATAATGCTCAAGGTAGACATTTTTTTACTAGTTAAACTACTGTTTGCTTTTAAGATGACTGCAAGAGATAGTTCTGGTTTAATGATGATCTCAACACAATAGTTTCAGACGTTCATCCAGCCTCCACGGCTCCAGTCTGGAGTCCATGAGAATCTGAAATTCTGTTCTGCATTTTCCTTCTTTTCATCAGGATTCATCTTTGATCAAAATGCTCAGTAATGGTAGCTGGACACCATCCCGATCCTCTGGGTCTCATGGCAAAGGAGGCAGTTGTTCCTGGAGACAATTAGCCACATATTCCATTTCCTCCTAGTCCAGATTCTTCTTGCTCTGGTGATGAGATGGTAATTGCTGTGCTTTGGATGGCTGCTGCAAACTGTTAAGACCCTAAGGACTATATAACGAACTTGGAGGTAGAACAGAATCACTAAACAAGTTGGCTGTCCCATGAAACCATGACCTTAAACCTCTAAATCAGGAGTCATGTGCCATGAGGTACTTGGTTGTAGATACGCAGCCTCAACAGCTTTTTTTTTTTGGGGGGGGGCGGGGGGGTTGCTAAAAATATGTCTATCACATAACTTTTTACAGGTGTACAACTTATTAACAATACTTAATAATTGGCTGGACAATCCTACCCTGGATTAATGTGATTTCTCCATCACTATACACTGAAACTCAGTACTCCATAAACAACAGCCTCTTCTTCCCACTTCCCCCCTTTCCCTGGTACCCACTAATAAGTTTGGCCTCAACACATTTGCCTTTTCTTGTCTTTTTCTATATGTGAGGTCACACGATATGTGTCTTTTGTGGTTGATTTCTTCCCATCTTTGTGCATGAGTATGTTCCTGATGAGAGCAAGCCCCCTAAGAATCAGGCTCTGCCCTCATTTACCTTTGCTGTCCTGGTGTGGCTCTGTAAGATAAAGTATTGAACTGCAAGGTCCATTTGAATCACAAGGTTGGAGGTTCAAACCCACCAGCTACTCCTTGGAAACTCTATACAGGTTCGCTGAGTTGAAACCGACTCAATGGCACTTCCCAACAACAACATCCCTTGTGATGCGTGCTTAGCAATGTGAACAGAATACCTGCACACAGTTGGTTAGAAGGCAACAGACAAACACTAAGGTAGCTGTGTTACTACGGTGAGATGGTAGGTGAAGTCTCTTCTTTGCTTGCATCTGGAAAGTTGTTGTAGTTAACAAATATGTTTCCAAATAGAAAGAAGACAGGGAGTAGAGAAACAGAAGAGACAAGAGAGTAAAGATGGGACCATGGAAGACTGTGATGGTCTGGGTCCCCAGGGGCATACCTCACGACTGGGTTTCCGTGGTACAGGATATAAATGCCAGCTTCCTTATTTGAAAAGATTTGATTGTTTCGGATGATGCCTTTCCCATTGCCAAGGACAACAATGCCAGAGCGAAGGCCATGGTGGATCTGATTACACTGCAAGTGAAGATGAGACACCACAGAGCAAGGATCAATCATGCCAGTGAGACGCACAGGGTTCAATCACTACCCACACAACTGGGCCAGGATGAACACAGCATAGAAAAGAACTCAACTGGGAGATCCTAAGCACATGCCAAAGAGAACGGACCATGTGGCTGCCCTATCCTTCCTGCACAGGTGCACACACCGAATCCTATGGGGGCAAATAGGAACATACAAGTCGTCACTGCCTCGCAGGATGCGGTAAGGCTGACTGCCCAGGGCTCTGGTTCTTCAGCTGAAGGCAGATTATGGAACATTTACAGCTTCTACAGAGTCCTTCAAACACACACTTCCCAGGATCCAGGGAGCCCACCTCAAAGGGAAGGGTCTAACAACCAAACCCATCACTGCTGAGTTGATTCCACCTCACAGCAACCCCACAGGACAGAAGTGAGTATCCCACAGGACAGGGCTTTCAAGGCTGGGAGCTTCACAGGGGTAGATTACCACATCTTTCTCCCATGGAGCAGCTGGTGAGTTTGAACCGCTGACCTTTTGGTTAGCACCTGAGCACCTCGCCACTGTACCACCAGGGCTCCTTCATGGCAAGGTAGCACCTCAATCTAAGAGAATGTTGGCCATGCAGTTTCAAAGGCACCACATCCAGAGAAAAGCAAAGGCCACTTGGCTTCTAGTCTTTGCTTTGCATTCAGGGAGGCAGCCTCTGGGAATTCTGTTTTCCCATGGGCATCTGGTCACAGAAAATGTACAAGCTAATGGGTCACCAAAGATTACTCATTTCTATACCTCTTTGTACAAACAGGAGGACCAGAGCCACATAACCAGTCTGTGGCAGAGTCAGATCTGAAACCTACTTTTTCTGCCTCCCCATCTGGTTGCTTTTGCACAGAGACAGTTTCTAGATAACAATAAGTTATAACAAAATTATTTCACTCTGTTAACTTACAGCCTGCGTCCAATCCCATACTTACAAAGGAAGCTAGCTATAGCTCTTCCAAAATGATTCCATAGAAACAAAGACACACAGAGAAAAGAGCAGGAGCCATTTGCAAACAAGCACACAATTCAGTATGGCAACATTTGTCTAGATATCGTCAGAAAAGGTTTCTGAAAACCCAGAGTCACCCCGGAAAGAGATTGAAGCAAAGGCAGTTTCCAGTACCAGTATGAGTGGGTTGGACTTTTTCCGGATGTCCACGCCAGCCTCCGCGTTATGGTAAATGTTGTTGCCTGCGATCAAGCCTCCACCCTCCAAGCGGAGAAAGATGCCTGATGCTCTGCAGCGGTAAATGTCATTCCTAAGCATGACAATCTAAGCAGAAGAGAAGGATGGAATTAGAAAACCACCACTTGGCAACCAAAAAAAATAAACAAAGCAAACCCACAGACATCGAGTTGATTCCGTCTCATAGTGACATTCTAGGACATGGCTTTCAATGCTATATAGAAATCCTTACCGACACAGACTGCTACAGTTTGCTCCCATGGAGTAGCTGGTAGGTCCGAATAACCAATCTTTCAGTTAGCAAGCACCCAAGCACTTGACCACTGTGCCACTAGGGCTCCTATTTGACAACCAATGTGTTATAGGATAAACACTGACGTTCTAATTGCAAAGGTTGGTGGTTCAAACCTACCAGCCACTCCTCAGAAACCCTATAAAGAGTTGTGTGTGTCAGAACTGATGCGACAGCATTTAACAACAATAACATAGTAATAATTAATTTCAGGCAAGAATCATCAATTAAGGCTTAAATTAGCAGCAGGTGTAAAGTTGATGAGGCACAGAATATTTACACAGTCTCAAAGTACCTTTCCACAAATCTATTAATAGGTTCAAAATTCTCATCAAAATTTCAGTGAAGAAATGTGGTAGATGCCATCAGAACCACACTACCAAAGTCCACATCCCTAGTTAAAAAAGGGTAAGTCGGTATCAACTTCTTCCTTGATACGGCCGATGCCCTGAGAAAAGGATGGCATCACTCTGGTACTGCTGCACAAAATACAGGACCTCAGTTTAATCACAGTGAAATATTTGTTGTTGTTGTTGTTGTTGTTGTTGCTAAGTGCTGTCAAGTTGATTCTGACTCATAGCGACTCTTTATAGGGTTTCCGAGGAGCGATTGGTGCGTTTAAATCATTGACCTTGCGGTTCCAACTGACCTTTAAGTCCACTGTTTATTCTACAGTGCCACACCAGGACTCATTGTTGTGTTGTTGTTAAGTGCCGCAGAGTCAGGTTCTGACTATAGTGACCCTGTATAGGGTTTCTAAGGAGCAGCTGGTGAACTTGAACTGCCAGCTTCCTGGTTCAAGTGGACTTTGCAGTCCAGTGCATTAACCAACAGTGCCACACCAGGACTCCCAGGACTCAGTTGTTGTTGTTGTTAAGTGCCATCGAGTCGGGTCCGACCCACAGCGACCCTGTACAGGGTTTCCGAGGGTGTAAATCTTTACGGGAGTAGAAAGCCTCATCTTTCTCCCGCGGAGCGGCTGGTAGTTTCGAACCGCTGACCCTAAGGTTCGCAGCCCGATTCGTAACCACTACGCTACCAGACTCAGTAGACAAGGCTAAATTAAGGGACATTTTATTCTATGACTGGTATACTCCTCAAATATGTCAGTCATGAAAGGCATGGCAGACTGAGGAATTGAATCAGTTTAAAGGATTAGGCGTTACTACACTGGGTCTTAGACATATAGACAGCTGGCAAAATCTGAATAGTGTCTGTGGAATACTGTTGTAGCTAACTGACAAGTTGGTTTCAACTCAAAGCCACTCTGCATAGGATTTCCAAGGCTGTTAATCTTTGTGGGAGCAGAAAGCCTCATCTTTCTCCTGCTAGTGACTGATGGGCTTAAACTTTGACCTTGCAGTTAGCAGACCCACAAGGGCTCCTTAGATAATGCTGTTTCAGTATTAATTTCTTGATTTTTAAGATTGTGTTGTGGCTATTTTTTGGAGTCCTAGTGTGGTGCTGTAGGATAAGCACTGGACCCCAAGGTCAATTTGAACTTCAAGGTGTCAGTTCAAACCCACCAGCTGCTTCTCAGAAACCCTATACAGGATCTCTAGGAGTTGGAACCACCTTGACAGCTCTTAACAACAACATTGTGACTATTTAGATACTTTGGCAGCACAGTGGTTAAAGTGCTTGGCTGCTTACTGAAAGGTTAATGGTTGGAACGTACCAGCCACTCCAGGAGAGAAAGATGTGAGCATCTGCTTCCATAACAATTTCAGCCTTGGAAAGCCTGGGAGACGGTTCTCCTCTGTCCTAGGACCGACTTGACGGCAGAGGACAGTTGTTTAGTTATTGTGGGTATTTAGTAGTTTTTCCTTGTTTTGAGGATAGCCATGGAATGGGTAGTCAATATTTAAATATTAAAGTAGAATAGACTATCAGATCTCCAACTTACTATTCAAATGGCTCAAAAAAGTATATAACTATAACAGAATAAAGCAGATGTGGATGAGTTGAAGAATCTGAGTGAAAGATACATGGGAATTCCTTATTCTAATATTAGTTTTTCTGTAGGTTTGAAGTTATTTCAAAATAAACTATTTGAACATAAAAATGGCATTAATAAAAGAGTCAGAACCTGACTACTTTCTGCATAATTTTCCTATAATTCTAAAACTGCTCTAAAATTTTTTTAAATATTTAAAAAAATTTCTACTACATCAAACCCAGAAGGCTAAATAAAACAGCAAAGACAAGCAATAATGTAAGTGTTGGTGACGCTATGAAGAACTTGGAGCCTTCACATATTGCTGGTAGGAATAGAAAATGGTGTATTCACTTTGTAAGACATTTGGCAGCTCCTCAAAAAGTTAAAGATAGAGTTACCATATGACAGTAGTTTCACTCCTAGGTATATGCCCAGGAAATGAAAATACAAGAAACTTAAAACACAAACGTTCATAGCAGCATTATTCATAAGAGACAAAAAGTAGAGACAATATTGAGTAGATGATAAATCAAATTGGGTATATCCATACATTGGAGTCCTGGTGTGGCACTGTAGGATAAGCACAAGACTGCAAGGTCGGTTTGAACTGCAAGGTTGGTGGTTCGAACTCACCAGCTGCTCCTAGGAAACCCTATACAGTGTCACTATGAGTCAGAACTGACTTAACAGCACTTAAACAACAGAAAAATCCATATATTGGAATATCATTTAGCAGTAAGAAGGAATGGAATCCTGGTGTGGTTTCTAAGATAAGTACTGGACTGCTAAGCACAAAGGCATCAGTTTAAACCCACTAGCTGCTCCTCAAAACCCTACAGAAAGTCACTATAAATTGGAACCAATTCGATGGCACTTAATAACAAGAAGGAATGGAGTACTGATACAAGCTACAATATGGACAGCCTTGAAAACCTGCTAAAAGAAAAGTAGCCCCACATTAAAGGTCACGTATTGTCTGATTCCATTTATGTGAAATATCCAGAATAGGCAAACTCAGAGGCAGGAAACAAATGAGTGGTTTCCAAGGGTTCAGGGAGGGGAATGGGCGGTGACTGCTAATGGATCTAGAGGGCTTCGTTCTGGAGTAATGAGATTATTCCATCGTCTGGAGTGGTGATGGCTACACAACTCTGTGAGCATGAAAACCACTGAATTACGGACTGTAAAAGGGAGTATTTCAATGGGATGTGGATTAAATCTTAATAAATAAACAAATTGTTATGGTATTTCAATTCCAAGGAAAGCTTTTAAAAAATAACTGTAGCAGTTCTAAGATGTCAATATTTGAAATATACATATGTAACTATGATAAAAAAAAGTTTAGCTATCAACTTTAAAAATGATTGCTGGGTAGTGGTGTTAAGTGCCGGTGAGTAGGTTCTGATTCAGAGTGACCCTATGTAGGGTTTCCGAGGAGCAGCTGGTGAGTTTGAACTGCCGACCTTTAGAAAATGGCCTTGCAGTTCAGTGTTGGTCCTACAGCATCACACCAGGACTCCACAATTGCTGGGTTTTAAAAAAATTCTTTTAGAGAATAAAAAATCTGTTGCTGTTGAATCGATTCCGACTCACAGTGACCGTACAGGGCAAGGAGAACTGCCCATGGGGTTTCCAAAGCTGGAAGTTTCAAGTGCAAAAAGACGAAGACCCTTAAAGAGATGTATTGGCCATTGTTTGCAACAGTGGGCTGAAGCACAGGAATGACTGAGAGGATTTGGTGCTGGACTGCGTAGTACTTCATTCTGCTGTACCCAGGGTCGCTGTGAGTTAGAACCAACTGGCTGGGACCTGTGGAAGCAGACTCCTACATTATTCTTCCAGTGAGTGGCTGATGGATTTGAAACTCAATTTTTCAGCTGGCATTCAAGCGCTTAGCCACCATACACACAGCTTCAGGGCTCCTACTGTTTTAGAGAAGATGCAAGGAAAATTAGTTGACAATCTGTGATCTCGTTCACCTCCCTCATTTTAAGATGAGGAAAATGGGGTGCAGAGACAGGAAGTGACTTTTTCAAGGCCTTAGAGCATACAAGGCTGAGATCCAGAACACCTCACTTTTGCACTGCAGTACCCTGGAGCCTAGCAGTAATGTAGCACATTGTAGGTTCCTCAGAAACATATTTTAACCAATGAATGAACGGGAAAAAACCCCACTCTGCAGACTTCTAAATACATTAATAATCTCAATCTCCTGGCTTCTAATCAACTAAACCACTTTATAATTGGTGGTGGTGGTGATGTGCCCTGGAGTCAGTTCTGACTCATAGCGACCCTGTACAGAGTTTCCAAGGCTGTAAATCTTTAGGGGAGCAGAAAGTCTTATCTATTAGACGGCTAAATTAGTTGCCTGTTTGTTTTTTTTTTTTTTCAAAAATAAAAACTTTTCAGAACACCATAATCTGTTTAATCAACTATTCTAATGACTCTAATATATGTATGATTTGGCATAATCATTAAAAATATTTTCTTTGTAACACATGATGAAAATTCAGTCTGCATTTTAAGAAACAAATATATGATTTTAAAAGGTTGCCTGGTGTGGCACTTTAGGATCTTAGGGTCATTGGTAGCGTAGTGGTTAGGAATCGGGCTGCGAACTGCAAGGTCAAAAGTTCGAAATTACCAGCTGTTCCACAAGAGAAAGATGAGGCTTTCTGCTCCTGTAAAGATTTATAGCCTTGGAAACCCTATACAGGGTTGCTATGAGTAGGAACTGACTCCACAGCACATATCCACCACCACCAAGAGCTAATGGCTTTGAAAACAAATAGGGGAAACATGTCAGAAAGAGGTAAATCTAACTACATCTGAGAAAAACAGTGGAATGGGAGGGAAAGAGGATTTGCAGTTTGGCATTTAAATACTGAAGGTGAATTAGACCTTTTCCACTCGTCTTTTCTGTTCAGTCCAGCTGTGATGCATGGAAAGAACATTAACGAGTTAGGAAACCTGGGTGCACGTCCTGCCTACTTGAAGTTGCTGTGTGACCCCGTGGGGTTAAGGGTCTGAAGAGTACGTCCCTATGACAGTACCTTGCTACTGTGGATACACCGCACTGCGTAAGTCAGGTTCCGGAAGATGTTTCCTTCCATCTTAGCTCGACCATAGGAGCAGACAAAGACACCTCCCTTGCCATCCCGGAAGAGACACTTGCGGATGAGGCAGCCCTGCACAGAGTTGGCCAGGGCCATGGCCTCCTTGTCCTTCTGTAGCTCTTGCTGCAGCGAGTTCAGCACCAGGCAGCTGGGCAGCTGAATGGATGCTCCTGGCAGTGGCGGACTCAGAAAAGATCCCCCCAACACTGGGCGAGGGCCCTGCACTTGGTAGGACAGTCTGAATGTCAGCTGGTCCTCATCCTCATCCTCATCACTGGAACTCAGGCTTCCATCACTGCTGTCTGGGGTCTGAGCCACCCTTTCCCCATCGCTGCCCACCTCTGCCTCCTGCGTGCCGCCAGCCTTGGAGTCCAGCTTGGGCGAGCTAGACACTGGGCTGGTGGGGCTCTGGCTGCCCTCAATAACAATGTCACAGGTCCTTGGGCTCCAGGCCTGGTCCCTGCTCTCTAGGTCCAGGGATGATAAAGTGGCAGAGTCCTCAGTGGGGAGCAAACTAGGAGAGGCCTTGATAAGCCCCAGCAGATACTTGTAGGCCCAGTTCTTGTCTGCCGATGGGTGGCCTTCAACAGTCACAGAGTTGTTTTCACTGCCCACAAATTCACAGCTTTCCAGAATACATAGGGGCACATTGTGCAGAAAGATATGGGTGTTTTTGAAGATGCAAAACTTCACTTGGCATGTGCCTGGACCGTGGACCTGGATGTGTCCATTCTCAAAGTTGCAGTTGTCAAACTGAACATGGCCCGAAGTCGTCTGGGGAATGAAAAGAGAACATGAGTAATGGGGAGATGTGCTGCTCAGCCCTCTTGAAGGAAAGGTCATTTGTTCTGTTGATTATTTTGGTGAATTTGAAAAAAGCAAATGTGGAGGCAGATAAGAGTGCTTTTCCTACCACAGCATGTATGCCAGCTGGGGGGCTGCTCTGCTCCTGAGAGGGGAATAAATTAGAGCTGCCCATCCTCCCAGCCCTCTGAAGAGTCATTGATAAAGTTCTTCTCCACAATTATTCAAGACTTCTGTAAAATGAGCCTAGGCTTGACCTTTTAAAAGCAAGGCCATCCTAGGTTCTGTGCCTTTCTCGAGACTTGATCATTTTTACCTCTTTCATAATTTTTACTTAAAAGACAGTCATGCCCTACAATGTTCAATAGACTCCGGTGAACCCTGGTGGAGACCTGGTTGGCCAGCAGGGTGGCAAGACCCGGGGACTCTTGAGCCCAAAGTCAGTGACATAGCCACAGAGGACTAGAGTGGAGAGTGAAGCATCCAGCTGATAAGAAGAGAGGGCATAAGCATAAGAACACCCACACTTGGAGATAATACCCACTTGACCTGGCTTCGATGACTGGATGATCAGAGCTCAACCAGAAGAAGAAAGAAGAGGAAAAAGGAGTAATCTGATACAATTTGATGAACTTGACCTACACCTATGGATGCAGTAGCTCAAAAGAGGGAACAAATCTTTACAGCAAGGATCATTCCCACCCCCTCCACACACAGCTTAGACAGGGATGGGCAACTTGGACATTGGCTACCCAAAGTTGGGGGAGAGGGGGCTACAAAGGCAAGAAGTGACTGGCTTACAATCTTTCAAGAGAGAACCTAGATCCAGAGGGCGTGGAGGAAGGTAGAATCTCCACGGAGTAGTATCCAATCTGTCTAGGTGGGGCTGATGAAAGGAAATGCAAATAGGTCTCTTGTGATACAATTATGAATAATTGTTATCAGGACTGATTGTGAGGGTTGGAAATGTAAGGGCAGACATTTTGTAGCAAGGAGTTAAGTGATTAACTTTGCAGTCTAGGTGCGGAGGTCCCTGGGACCATCAAGGGAGAAGAGTGGAGAGTGGGACGCTACCCAAGAAGCAGTGATGCCTGAGATGGAGGCAGAGACGATGACATGGAGAGATAGAGCAGCTGGGGACTTGAGATCCAGAGAGAGGGGCTGTGTGCTGACAACTGAGCGGGGGGGGGAAGACAGGCTTGCAGGGTGTACCCTTTCGTTGGTTGATGATGCATGGAGGGGACTGTAACCATGGCAATGAATCTATATATGACAGGATGAATGTAAAGCTAATGTTCTCCCATAAACTATCACAGAATTCATAATAAAACATTAAAAAAAAAGCCAGTTATGGACCAAGCACAAACATATATCCCAGGCATTAAGCCAGTTGGTGGGCTACAAAGACGACTAAGACCAGACTCCAGCCCTTGAGAATCTACAACCTTACTCTGGCAGGGAGGAGGGGCTGAAATTAATGTTTACTCTAACAAAAAATATATTTTGAAAGATGAAAGGTCTGGACAATACTCTTTCTAGAACCAAAAATCTCTCTGCGTCTGCAGACCAGTCCTTCTGAAACATTCTAGAGCTACAACCGCAGGCTTCTTAGATTCCAACAAAGTCAGTGTGATGCACTTTAAAAATGCGTACTGATTCAAGTACTAAATTACTAATTATTCACTTGAAAAAGTGATTTAGCGTCTCTGAGCATCAGTGCTTCCATCTGTGGATGACGACAGCATGTTTACCCTGTTTACCATAAAGGTTTGCTGTGAGGATCAAGTGAGGTCACCGCCGGAATGTCACCAAGGTTGAGTCCTCACTCTGTCCCTGACTAACTCTGTCACCACGGGTATGTTCACTTCATCTTGTGGAGGCCCCATTCCCTCATCTACGAGATTCAGATGACACTATCCATGTCACAGGACTATGCTGTTGCTGTTGTTATGTGCCATTGAATGGGTCCCGACTCACAGCAACCCTGTTTAGGCTTTCCAAGGAGCAGCTCATGAGTTTGAACCACTGACCTTGCAGTTAGCAGCCCAGTGCTTATCCTATAGCGTCACACCACAACTCCCACAGAACTATGGGGAAGAATAAATGATACAAAGGCTGTGTCTGATGTGCAGTAAAGTACATCATAAATGACTGGTCATTTAATGATTATGACACATGAGTGGCAAATGAGCAGTTATTGGTTGTCACATTGGCAATCTAATTTTTATTGACGAGCTACATATTCTCCTGGTTGTATAGTGAGTTTTACATGTTGGGCTGCTAATCACTAGGTCAGCAGTTCAAATCTACCAGCTGCTCTGAGGGAGGAAGATGAGACTTTCTGCTCCCATAAAGATTTAGAGCCTCGGAAGCCTAGTTGGGGTTGCTATGAGTTGGATTTGACTTGACAGCATACAGCAGCAGCAGCAGCAGGAACATAGTCTAGGTTTTACAACCAATTTCTAGGCAATCCACAGTTGTCAACTGTTCTACCAGAAACTACCAACACCACAATCAACATATACTGTGAATATAACTTTACCTGTGTGTTCCTGGAAGGAGGGTGTTGAAGTAAAATTTCTTGACCCCATCTCTAGTAACTCCTGAGAACAAACCTGACCTCTCTTGACCTCCACAGGGCGGTGTTAACGTGCTGTGCTGAAGCTCACTGGTCCTGACCAGCCTCTCCTGGCTTTGCCTCTCTGGGCACACCTGCTGTGAGCAGTTCACATATTCTCTGCTACCTCAAACCTGGTTCTCCCACCTAGCTGCTCCACCCGTGGCTGTTGAGCCCGTTTGGAGAAGAAGTCCCAAGCAAATGTGGCCTGGAGTCCAAGCCTCACTTCGCGAGGAATGAAGCAGTTATTTTGACCTCTACTGATTTCTGGGTCGTATTACTCAACTGGTTCAGAACTCAGTGTAGGGTGTGTCTAGGAATAACTGCTAAACTTTCAGTTTCAACAAACAAGGGATTACGAAGCCACCAGGAGGGCACAGGCCCTGGACTCAGGCCCGAGACTGGCAAGACCATCACCTGTCTGATATGGACACCCACCTTATACATGACGGGTGAGAACCAGGCCATCTGTCAGATACGGACACCCACCTTATACATGACGGGTGAGAACCAGGCCATCTGTCAGATACGGACACCCACCTTATACATGATGGGTGAGAACCAAGCTGGCATGAAGACGAGGTTGCACAGGTGTGTGGTTGAGCAGTGCTGATCAATGCTGGCCAGCAGAACCACTTCACCTAGCTTCCCTTGGCCGACAATCTCCACGGGCACCTTCAGGATGATTTCCCCTTGCTCTTCGTACACACCCGGGAACAGCACAATCCGGTCATATAGGTTGGCCATGGCCAAAGCACTGCCCAGGCTGTCAAACTCCTGGCCTGGCCCCACACTCAGGGTACGCCGTTCCCGCCTCCGACAAAACAGAGAAAAGCAGACAGAGGACTCCACATCCAGGGCATTCTTGGTCCATGTCTTGGAGGCAAGGTAGTGCAGCTTGAAGGCTTCCCTCCAAGACTCAGGCTCCACATCAGGCTGGTTGGGCCAGTTGGGGTGGCGGCACTCGGTGCAGCCCAGGCACAGTTGACGCCAACGGGTGCTGTCAAGACTGAGGATCAGTTCATACCAGGCTCTGCATACCAAGCTACAGCGGCCCAAGTCAGGAAGGTGCAGGTAGGCTAAGATCATGCGCCACAGCTCCAGGGGGAGGCCTCCAGCCTCCATCGTCACCTGGGAGAGAGACACAAAACAAGAGGGTTTGGTTTACTTCCACCTTCTGTGGACACCCTCTGCCATCTCCTGACCGTTGGGGTAAGCAAGTGACCAGACCCCACCAATTAGAATCCTTGTGTTACCAGAGTGAAGCAGAAACAAGCAGAGATAAATGTGAAAAGTGAGACAGAGTAAGGAGAAAAGTCACCATATGTGTAATCTGGTGGTATTGATTCCAGATTCCTGAAGACGCCCTGGAATCTGTAGCTCTTCTTTCTATCTTCTGAGCTATATGGACTTTCAGTTAATTCTCGTTTTGCTTGAGCTGAGTTTATTTGCATTTTGTAACTTGAACAGGTCTCTGGACTGTTCATCATAACAGCGAAAAGGCTGGGCTTCTGACATCTGCAGCTCGCCCAGGTTCCTGTGAGACTGATATCGCCTGTCCTTCACCCACTTCTTTAGTTATATGTTCTCTGGCTTTGTAAGAGAAAAGTGTTCTTCTATTCACTCTCCACCCATTCTCCAGCGTAGTGATCATATCATTCCCTTGGCTTTAATTACAACTGCAGACACACAAATACAAAATCTGAATCTCCAATCCCTAGTGATCAAACTCCAGACATAAATAGCCAATTGCCAGTTGGGCATTTCTGTTTGAACATTCCACAGATGCCAAAACTTCAATATTAGAATACTGAACATGGACTTCCACCTCAGTCTATGGCAGAAGAAACAGGAACTGGGCACTCCTTCCCACCATAAAGCTGGACAAAATATAAGGGGGCTTCCAATAGTTCTTAGGAAAATCCCATTTGTCCACAAACTTTTTGAAGCCCCCTCTTAGATGAGGCAACTGCTTTAAGGCATTGTGCGTAAGAGAAGTTTGTGATCTTTGAGGGAAAGGAGGCTCAGGACTTGAGCCCCATGATGGGCAGTTTCCATCGTGGGGCACATTTCTTATTGGGCTGTAGGGGAGTTGGACCAAGTGCTGTGATGCTAAAGAGACTGGAATCTGTGAAGCAAGATACCAGAATAGAGGGTGCACACGATGAGGGAAGGGCAGATGGGCAGTTTTTTGGCTGAGGGATGGATTAAGTATGCGCAGGGTAAGAATTCATCACACTAGACTTCAGATTAATGATGGACTAGGCAGACACACTACATAGACCCTCTACATCAAAGACATGAGAGACCAAATAAAACAGACACAGGTGAACATCCTGGAACCTTGAACTTCAGAAGAAAGGTTAGAGAAGTAGATTGAGTGCTTGCTGGGAGGAGAAGCTGAGCAGGGCCAGCGAGAGAGGGAGGCTGACTGGTGAACAACCAGCCAGACACAGAACAAGCACCTTGAATCTTTGTGAGAAGGTGGCTTGGCAGTCAGACAAGCAACAGGAAAGGTGACATTCTTTTTTCCCCACCTTCCCTGGTCACCTGAGGTATGGCCAGATCCCACCCTCATCCACCCTCAGGGTAGCCCCTGCTCTCCAGAAGCATGGAGCCACACCTGTGTGCGGTGGGGCCAGCTGTAACGTTTTAGTGCCTGAAGTCAGGCAGGCTCAGCTTAGGACCTACAGAACCTGCAGAGCCACCAAACCAGCATTAACCAATTACCCTGCCCCCAGCTGCCCTGTAGTCCTAGTTGTTGTTGTTGTTATGTGCCGTGGAGTCGGTTCTGACTCATAGTGATCCTGTACTGGGTTTCTGAGGCTGTAAATCTTTAAGGGAGCAGAAAGCCTCATCTTTCTCCCGCGGAACAGCTGGTAGTTTTGAACTGCTGACCCTGAGGTTCGCAGCCTGATTCGTAACCACTACACTACCAGAACTCCTAATAGACACTGAAATCAGCTTCATCAAGGGTCTCCACAATGACTTCCGGATTGAGTATCCTGAACACAGATTACACTGAGGCCAAGAGGAAGTCCATCACGGGCCAGGAACTCTGCTGTCACATCCCTCCCACACCCACCTTGTGAGCTCTTTGGCTTGCAGGAGCCCCCAGAGTTTTATCCTCTCCGAGTCCAACAGCTGCACTGGTTTTATATTTGCTTTCTTCCCTTTTGTTGTTTCATTGCTTTTGTTTATTCTCTTTCTTCTTTTCTTTCCACTCCCTTGAATTTTATCCTTTCTATCTCTGCTTTTAGGACGTCTGGTGTGACACTGTAGGATAAGCACAGGACTGCAAGGTCGGTTTGAACCACAAGGGTGGCATTTCAAACTCACCATCGCTCCTCGGAAATCCTATACTAGGTCACTATGAGTCAGAACCGACTTGATGGCACTGACAACAACAACAACATCTCTGCTTTGGTTTTTCTTCTTTTCCCTCTTCTCTGCCCCCGCCTCCCGATCGTTCTTTTATTACTCTGTACTCTCTTTCTCTTTTCATCTTCCCTCCCTCTGACTGCTTTTTCTAAGAGTTATTTCTATTTATTCCTTTTATTTTCTCTTTTATAGTTTCATTTTCCTGTTCCTCTTTTCTATTTTTATTTATTATACTCTTTTTTCTGGTTCCTGCCTGTTTTAAATGATTTTTTTCCCTTTATTGTTTCCTTTATCTCTGTTGGTTGCTTGTTTGTTTGTTCTGTTTTGCTTCTTGGTGTGTGTAAGCAGGGAGGCTGGAAGATGGTTCTCCTGTTTCCCACCCAACAGGAGACAGCAACCACGTCCATACAGCCCAGCCACAACCATGCCCTATGCAGCTCACCCCACTGGGCCCAAGCCAATGCCAGGTGCCATAGCACCTGATCAACAATAGACAGCAGCCAACAACAGCCAGTGCACATGCTTCCATTCTCTAACTACACCCATAGTGGGCAGTTGGTGAGAGCCTAAGAACCCAACAACATATAATTGTCAATTAAAATACAAATATGACACGCCTACAATGTCCCAGAGACAAGAGACTATTTTAGCTGATACAAAGAAACAAGAGAGAATGGCTCAAACAAATGATGAAGAGGGAGAGCCAAAAAACATTTCTGAGGAAGAAAAGACAATGGAAGTAACTGAAAAGAATTCATAAGAATGATATTAGGTACCTTCAAAGGATTGGCAGAAAGATTGAGGAAAGCAAGGAGAATATAGAAACAAACTTGAGAAGAATTTAGGAAAACACTACACGAACAAACAGACAAAATTAATGCAAATTTAAAACAATTAAAAACCTGCCATTAGAAATAAAGAAGATTAGTACAAAGATTTCAGAAAAGGACAATATATTGTAAGGCAAAGGAGTAGATCTGAAGGAATGAAAGCCCAAATCAGTGAGTCTGAATAAATTTCTCAATACTAGTATGCTAGACGAACAATCAGATAAAAGAATGAAAAAAATCCAAAGAAAGCCTAAGAGTTATGTGGAACACATGAAAAGAAATAACAGAGGTGCTCAGAATTCCAGAACAGAAAGAAACAATAAAAAGCACATAGAAATTTTTCAAAGAGTTACTGGAAGAAAACTTACCTAACATCATGAAAGATGAGAAGATAAGCATATAAGAAGCTGAATGAACCCCAAGCAGGAAAGAGTCCAAAACAAAATCACCAACACATGTAATAAGCAAACTTTCTAAAACCAAAGAAAAGGAAAGAATCCTGACAGCATTTTGGGAAAACCAAAACGTTCCCTACGAAGGCGATCCAATAAGAGTAAACTTCAGTGCATCTGCAGCATCTTCTAGAATAAAACATTTATTAAGCCACAAAGCAAACCTCAATAAATTTAAATATATCAAACTACTATTAAGGCATCTTTTCAGATCACACTGCTATAAAATTAGAAATCTACAATAGGAAGATCAAGGGGGAAAAAAAAATCAAATACATGGAAACTGAAGAACACCCTGCTTCAAAGCTACTGGATAATAAATTAGATAAAAAATGAAATAAAAAAAATTTCCTGGAGGCAAATGAGAACAAAAACACAACTTACCAAAACCTTTGGGACAAAGGAACAGCAGTGTTCAGAGGGCAATGAAAGCAATAGAGGTACACATCCAGAAAGGAGAACCACAACCAACACCCTACCCAAGCATCTCCAACATTTAAAAAAGAGCAGCAAAGTAAGCCCAATGCCACCAGAAAAAAAGCAATAATACAGATTTGAGCATAAATAAATAAAATAGAATAATGATAGAATCAGCAAGACAATAAGTTGGTTCTTTGAAAGGAGTAGTAAATTGACAAACCACTAGAAAATCTAACAAAAGAGAAGGAGAAGATACAAATAACATGAAAAAGAAATGGAATGTCATGACAGAACCAACAGGAAAAAAAAAAAGGATAGTAACAACACTATGAAGAATTCTACTCCAAATTTGAAAACCTAGAAGAAACGGAAAAATTTCTAGTAGCACAAGACCTACCTAAACTAATACAGGCTGAAGCAGAACACTTGAACAGGCCTATAACAAGAGAAGGAATTAATCAAATCATTTTAAAACACCCAAGTAAAATAAGTCCAGGTCCAGATGGCTTTAGTGGCGAATTATATCTAACATTAAGTGAAGGGCCAACACCAACTCTACTCAAATGATTCAATACTATATAAAAAGAAAGAAAACTCCCAAATTCATTTTGTGAAGCAAGCATAACTCTGATAGGCAAACCAGGTAGATATTACTGAGAAAGTTATAGACCAATATCCCTCATGAACACAGATGTACAAATTCTCAACAAAATCAGCAAATAGAATCTAACAATATATCTATCAAAAAAAGAATACCTCATGACCAAGTGGGATTCATACCAGGTATGCAGGGATGGTTCAATACCAGAAAACATTCAACATAATCCACCACTTGAATAAAGCAAAGGGGAAAAAAAAATCACAGGATCATATCAATTGATGCAGAAAAGACATTTTATAAAATCCAACACTTATTCCTGATAAAAACATTCAACAAAATAGGAATAGAACAAAATTCCTCAACATAATTAAGAGCATACTGCACAGTGGTTACAAGTTGGGCTGCTAACCTAAAGGTCAGCAGAGTTTGATATTTCCAGCCAT